ACTACTACCACATTTCTTCATAGGTTAATCCCCTCAGCTCCGGTATGAGTCTTGTTACACATCACCGGCCTTTGCCTATTGTGGTGTTCTCTCGCGTGCCTAGTTACCTTTGCTATCAAAACCTCGTATTCTACCTTCCTGTATCATCTGTATCATCTTCCTGTATCATCTGTATCATCTACACGAAGCTTTCAACACGGGAGTGTTGTCTCGACTCGCAAATCTGTAAACAATGCATTTGTTTTGCCTAACCAGCTCAATCAATACCCTCCCTGTATTGCCGGAACACAAGTGAGCGTGTTTAAGAGAAAATTAGAAGAGTTCGTGCAAGAAGTGCCGGACCGGCCAGGCTGAAATATTATTATTAACATCTTTATTGACAATTTAATTACAATTTTGCCTCATCTGAGGATTTCAATTAAGTGTTATTAAAGTGAGGATAATGCTAGTTTTTTACAACTAAAAATAGAAATATTTTGTCTAACCAACAAAGTACAAACCCAGGCAACCCACCTAACTTGTCGAGACCAATGCATAGAAGACGTCAAATAACGATGCTTTAATTTTTACTAATACGTCGCATTCAAATAGACTGATAGATTCCGTAAAAAAATCGACGTAATAGAGGAGAGGGCAGGCGTGTATTTTTTATTTCCAACTGGGGAAAAATATCATTGACTTCAGCGTTACAAAGTTTAACATTAACATGTATATTGATGCAGGACGGTGACGGCTTGTGACAGCCTTACGGTTGTGTGTGACGGGGGTGTGTAGTATACAGCACAGCTGGGAAGAATACAGTCCCGTCAGCTGTTAAATGATGTATAGCCTGGTATTATTATGTATAATGATGCGGAGCTACAGGAGATGTCTCGCAACTTTACGGTAGTGTGGTGCTCAGTTTAGGCATTTATTAGGCACCCCGTAACCCATCCTGTGCATGGGAGACATCTCCCGTCACGCAGGGTGCAGTCGCACCTCCACAGATCTCCAGTATCAGCTCTTGATACTGGTAATGGTTCAAAAGGGCCACCACTTACGGGCTATTCATGCCCGTGCCACCCTTTGGGTGGCTTAATCTTCCTCAATCATCAATCCATCCCGTGGGCGGTATATATACAGAATATACACAAAGACGTTCACCCTCGTATGTATATCCCTCGAAGGCATCTTAATGCTTCGTCGCCGCGCCTTGTTTAGATAAAAATCATTCTCTGTTATTACAAGAAAGCTGCTGGCTGTGGTGAGTCTGCCGGCCGCGCTTCCCTGAACCTATCCAGACTTGTGTAGCCTAACATAATGTATAGCCTAACCTAACGTAACGTAACGTAACGTAACCTAACGTAACGTAACCTAACGTAACGTAACCTAACGTAACCTAACGTAACCTAACGTAACGTAACCTAACCTAACGTAACCTAACGTAACGTAACCTAACGTAACCTAACGTAACCTAACGTAACCTAACGTAACCTAACCTAACGTAACCTAACGTAACCTAACCTTTGGGAGCCGGTCGGCCGAACAGACAGCATGCTGGACTTGTAATCCTGTGGTCCCGGGTTCGATCCCGGGCGCCGGCGAGAAACTATGGGCAGAGTTTCTTTCACCCTATGCCCCTGTTACCTAGCAGTAAAATAGGTACCTGGGTGTTAGTCAGTTGTCACGGGCTGCTTCCTGGGGGTGGAGGCCTGGTCGAGGACCGTGCCGCGGGGATACTAAAGCCCCGAAATCATCTCAAGATATATCTCAAGATAACCTAACCTAACGTAACCTAACCTAATGTAACCTAACCTAATGTATAACCTAACCTAACGTAATCTTTCCTAATCTAAATCTGAAAAAATAAATCACAAGGAAGTTTGGTACACGGTGCAGGCACCACATTGAGTTTATATAACCGTTAAAATATACTGAATAAATAACAAAACTTCAAACGGGGAATAATATCAGTAAATTCCTAACCACAAGAAACACAATTAATCGTAATTATTACAGATAAATGTATTAAATTGACTAGAGATAAAAACGGGTGAAAGTAAGTACAAAGAAAGTTGAAGTTCTGCAGGCAAGGAAAAATGTATTAAAAGGTAATGTAATTATTAAAGAAAATATAACTGAACAATTTGAACATAGTTCAGTCTTGGGCTGGTTCAGTACTCCTAAAATGATAGTACTTGTAACAAGTAGTTAGTTTAACGTATACAAATTTTATATAGGGTACAAGAAAAAAAAATAGTTCCAGTATGACACATGTTATCTTAGACCTAATTTAGTACATATAGCCTTGGAATTACTTATTTACGTCTTGGACAGGTTAGATTAGGTTCAATTATTTTTCGTATTTGTTTTAAGTATGCCATTTGGGTTGATAAAATACTGCAAGACAATACGTGAACTTTTCCATTTCAAACTGAACTGGAAACCTTCAAATCGTGAACTGTTCCACCAGTCCATTTTTGTACGTTTGATTAAATTTTTAAAATTATCAGGAGGAAAGCGCCAAGCCATTACGACTTGATAGCACTTGGAAAAAGTCAGGATAAGGATTTGGGATGGGACGGGAGGAAGGAATGGTGCCCAACCACTTGTGGACGGTCGGGGATTGAACTTTGCACGTTTGAGCAAATAGTTTATATTAGTACTATCATTATTATTGGAGAGTTGGGTGGATGCACTGTAGTGGACTGTGGCGTAAATAATGTGTTAGTAATACAGATTCCTAAAGACAGAGACAGAGAAGGAAAGCCGGTAACCAGGAAGACAGACCAGAATCGGACTTCGTTTGTGCTCGGTGTGGGATGGACTGCCACTCTCGGATTGGCCTCATCAGTCACACCAGACGCTGCACCAGGATTGACAACTAGGGCGCAACTCCATAGTCTCCCGAGACTGAAGGATGCCTACTACTACTAATACAGATTCCACCGCAATCTTTATTAGTCGTATCAGTTTCTTGTAGTTTTTCTTCTGTTAGAATGACAACGTTAACTTCCCGGAATGTATCTCTCTCTTCTACTTACTCCTGTGCTATTACATGCCGGATAGTTAGAATTAATTTTAAAACATTTTAACAGCTTTTTTTTTTTTTGGGGGGGGGGGCGCAAATACAATATTTTATTTTCTGTCGCGTTACCGGATCTGACTGAGTTCAAGACAATGTGATCTTTAGCTGGTAGATATTTTGTTTGACTAAGGAAAATATTTGTGGATTTTTTCTCTCCCTCGCTCGCATGCGTGTTTGTGCGTGCGTGTGTGCGTGTTTGTGCGTGCGTGTGTGCGTGTTTGTGCGTGCGTGCGTACGTGAAGCAGGGTTTACCATTCAGGTCTGTCCATGTGTGTGTCGATAAGGAAAATAGCGACCGTTAGAGAAAGGTCAAGATCATGTCTAAAGGTCCCATGAAGGTCTTGTGTGCGTCTCTTCCATAATTATTACTGTGACATTAATGTGATGGAACCTTTAAGGTATGATGTAAACATTCACGTTTCTAAGGTGATTTTAGCGTTTGTGTGTTCCAGCAATGGTAACGAGACAAATTATAAAGGCCATTAATTATTTGTATGTTAAACTTGGAGTGGATTCTGGGAGTTCTACTCCCCCAGGGAGCCGGTCGGCTGAGCGGACAGCACACTGGACTTGTGATCCTGTGGTCCTGAGTTCGATCCCAGGCGCCGGCGAGAAACAATGGGCAGAGTTTCTTTCACCCTATGCCCCTGTTACTTAGCAGTAAAATAGGTACCTGGGTGTTAGTCAGCTGTCACGGGCTGCTTCCTGGGGGTGGAGGCCTGGTCGAGGACCGGGCCGCGGGGACACTAAAAAAAAAAAAAAGCCCCGAAATCATGTCAAGATAACCATCTCAAGATAACCCCAAGCCCGGCCTGGAGCTCAGGCTTGACTTGTGATAACTTTGTCCAACAGGCTTTCTTGGAGCGGCCCGTGACCTCCCCCCCCCCCTTCAACTCACGCCACAGACACAGATCAAGCAAGCAAGCAAGCTCGCTTTCTAAGATTATTGATGCATGTGTTGGCTCCCGTGGCATACAGTCTTCCCCAGCTGTTGTTGTTTTAGATTCAGCTACTTGGAACAAAAAGTTCCAAGTAGCACGGGCTATGGTGAGCCCGTAGTGGACTTACCTGGCACAGGAGCGGGGCTGCAGTTACTCCATCCCAACCCTTCACCCATAAATAGGCCACTAAGGTCAGCAGCACACTCCTCCCTCACTCTCCCTTGCTCAGTCTCTCCCTCGCTCTCCCCCCTCTCCTCTGTTCTTCCCCCTCCCTCGCTCTCCCCCTGTCCCTCGCTCTCCCCCTCTCCCCTCTCTCCCCCCCCTCTGCTCTCATCTCTCCTCTCTCTCCCGTCTCTCTCTTTTCCATCCCTTCCTCACTCTCCCATCCCATTATTCAGATACAGTGTGTCACAAGGGCTAGTGGGAGAGGGGGGAGGGGGAGGTGATTAGAGAAGATATATTATATTAACTGGTTGACTGCGACCTATTACGGGATCACCATAACCCGTGCTACTTGGAAGTTTTTGTTCTGACTAGCTGAATCTTAAACAACTACGACCTAGCAAAAGACGTGATGTACCTAGGAACAGACATCTTATCACAGAGATAAGATGTCTTGTATAATGATGTAGCATAAGTGTATCTTAAAGTTACAGTTTGCCCCAACTCAAAACCCCATCCTGATATATTGGTATATATGTCCTGTAATTATCATCACCAATTTACGGGCTATTCATGCCCGTGCCACGTCTTGGGTGGCTTAATTTTCATCAATCAATCAATCACCAACGCAGTTCGATCACTATGTACTGGCTAACACAGATCAACCGGGTTGTTGGTGCTTGCAGTAGGCTACCACAATCCATGGATGGTTTTGAGGGAAGGTGTTAAATTTCTTTTAACACCTTCACCAATGTATTTAACACCAGACAATGTATTTTTTTGTATTGTAGTAAAGTATTATATTAAAGTGTGCGATTGTTTATTTGCAGGACATACCACAAGGACTCGTATATGGCTCACCGCAGGGATTGGAAGACCGGCTTCGAGGGCCGCTACAGGAGGACCATCTCTCCGTCAGCGTCCAATCGCAACCTGCTCTACACCCGCGATGACAACACCAACAACAACACTACCACCACCACTACTACCACCACCACCACAACCACCACCACAACCACCACCTCCACCAGTCCAACAGTCTCCCAACAGTTGGAGTGTGAGAGAAGGGTATCACTCACCTCCACCACCACCTCCTCTACGCCGCCTCCGGCCGGAATTCTCCGTTCCTTACCCTCCACCTCCTCCCTTGTCCAGAACAATAACAACAAGAACATAATTGATAACGACAACGCCGTTAATAATAATGGTGAATCATTTCTTTTATTAAATTATGTGTAATGCAATGCTGTATAAACATGATGAAGCAGGTGTTTTGATGCATGTAACTGATGTGTTTGTTAGTCATGCTAGGCTTCTTAAGTGAATTAACAAGTGAAAATATTAAATACTATTATAATGTGTGTCTAGAATTGACCTAGACGGGTGGATACCCAATGATAATCAGTCTTAACTTTCTTAAGACACCTGGTTTAGTTTCATATATAATTTGTTGCCGGTAACCGCCATCTCCACCTTTTCCCGTCAAAAACCTGCTTCATCATTCCGTTTTCTCTGGCGGACAAACACCTCGCTTCACTGACGAGGACCCCCCCCCCCCGCTACCCCTCAATGTTGATAGCTTAGTTGGACGACAGGTTTTAGGTAGGCCTACTGTTCGGTGAACTACAGTGACATGCCCAGTGTCACGGGCTTTCCCTTGACTTATTGATTTACGTTCCAGTTTTCACTTTGTGTCAGGAATCGCCTTGGCCTGAGGGCCGGGAGGTCTTAAGACAGCTGTTAGTCATTACATGTCGGGCAATATACGGAGAGTGAACGAGATAAATACAAGTCAGGTTTTAAACAGTGACTTGTAGAGACAAGTAATGTTTATCAGTAGACGCTGGTTATAAAGCCCGCTTTCTGTTACCACTGTAAAAAATGCAGCAGATTTGCATAACCAGAAGAGTCAGAACCTAGACAACAGCCAAACATATTGGAGCCGATAGTTGTAAGACCCATGAAACGTCAATATTACCTTGGTATTAATGTCCCTAATCCACTGCAATTTTTACGGTGGGGTCGATAGAGTAAAGAATGTAGCGCCTTCAGTAAGAGAGGTTGCGGTGATGAGGCTTCGACGAGGCTGGACAACCCAGGTCTGATCAGCTCTACAGCATGTAGGCCTATACAGTATAGGATTTAGGCATACAGGGCATATATATATGAAGTTTAATATATTACCTGATTGATGTACAGATCCCAGAGAAACGTGGTAACTTAGTCTGGACAATCAGCATGGCTTTGTGCATTACTGGAAATTTGAAACTGTCTAACCTAATACACTACAGTTGAAACAAAAAATATAGAATAAATAGTATTGGAGTGCATGGTTTAGGTGTAGCATCACCAATCATTGGTGAGTTTGAAATTAGTATTATTTACGTTCTAGAACAAAATATGAGTGATTATAAAAATTGCGTAATAAAAATAGGGACCTATCTTGCGGTTACATTGCGATAATTTCGTGCTTCACGGCCCCGCGGCCCGGTCCTCGACCAGGCCTCCTCGTTGCTGGACTGGTCAACTAAGCTACAAAGGACAGATATAGTTTTGTGCCAGAAACTCTTGGTAAGTAATACAAGTGAGGCCAACAGAGCACTAAGGTGTGTGGGGGAGGGGAACGACCAATGCCAGGCCGCGGTCGCCGCCCCCAGCAAGGTCTCTCTCCACACCACCTGCAGAGAAAATGGTCAATAATTATACTCCTCCGGCGTTTCCTTATTGTTGCTAAATATGTTGCTTAAAAAGTGAGCCAGTAGCCCCCCTATGTTACCTTTGTGGTGCTAGAGTTAATGTCCTCCTCGGACGTAGTACAGCTGATCGAACACACTTTCACCCCTTTATCGTCACGTGGTTGTTGAGTCAGCGGTTCATTGTAGTAAAACTAAGCCTTCTTTGTAAGCAATACCATCGCTTTCCATTTGTGTTGGCTGGCGACGCTGCCTCACCGGTGTTGTGCTTATTGCTGGAGTGCTTAAATAACGGTGGTGTGTGTACTCTCACCGTTAGCGCCCACATTGCTATTCTGATCAATGTTTAAACACTTATTATTTTGATGTCACTAGACTTGGTCATCAGTTGATGTCACTAGACTTAATCAGTTGGGCACTAGACTTAGTCATCAGTTGATTTTCCCGCATTAAGATTCACAAAGTAATGAATGGTGTAATTTTTTATCTTACACCGAGAAAGGAAGTCATTCTTTTCCACTAACGCTCACGGGATAGGTATGGGGTCCACTACCACTCGGCAACATAAAAAAAATCACAATACGGGTATGGGATGCATTAAAATTAGCTAAACTAAATTTTGAGTGATTTATTTTTTCAGTTCTGTGACTGGTAACTTCAGCTTAATTATATTGATGTCTGTTGTTCCAGGTTGGCCAGGTCACACACGCTCTACCTCCACCACTGTAAGCTTTACTGCTGAGGAGCTGAGAGCGTTTAAAGCTCGACGGGCCCACGTTCACACCCAAGATGCTGCCTGCTACACGTCGGACAAGGAGAACATTCCTCGTCAGTTGCACCCATCACAGTCTTCCCCAGCGTTGTCGTCCTCGACTCTTCACTCTATGGCGAGCGACGGCTCGACGACCTCCCTGGCAAGCGGGGGCACCGGTTCCTCCCTGGGATCAGGCCGCAGTGAATCCCCAGCCTCTCCTAGCAAGTTGAGTCCTGCACATTCCTGGCGCACCTCTTTAGACTCCCTGCACCGGCCCAACACCTCGGGAGCCTCATATCCCGGGTGTGTCTCCACACACTCCCCCAGGACCATCACCCGCACCACCAGTCTAGCTGACCCTCTTCACAGTGCAGAAGAGGTGGTCATGTTCAGCAGTGTGTCACAAGAGGCGCTTCACCTCCCTCGCACTGCCAGTATTAATGAATCGCTCTCTCGTATCACAGCCATCAACGACTCTCTCAGTCGATCTACCAGCATGGCGGAATCTCTCTCTCGCTCCAGCACCATCGCGGAGATCCCAACTGGTTGTTACAGTCGCAATAACAGTGTCAGTGAAGCGCCCACCTATCACTCTAGTCCTGCCGCCGCGCCTGCCACCAGCAGCAGCCAGGCACCGGCCTCGCCCAACTCACCAGTGCCTCACGACGGCCCCGTCACCGCTCATCCTGCTACCGTCACGGAGGAAACGTCAGCGCTAGCTGCTTCACTTCCTCCGAATTCACCCCTCGCTCCCTTATCTCCACCTCCTCCAACGTCTCCTCTCTCTGCGAAGTCCCTCTCGCCTAAGTCACCAAAGTCTCCGCTATCGCCAAACTTGCCTCTGTCACCAGCACCTCAGTCGCCGGTGATGGATCAAATGGCGCCCTTCAGCAGCACGTCCCCCACTACCGTCGCCTCGCCCTCTGTCTTTCCCGTCGCCTCGCCCTCTGTCTTTCCCGTCGCCTCGCCCTCTGTCTTTCCCGTCGCCTCGCCCTCTGTCTTTCCCGTCGCCTCGCCCTCTGTCTTTCCCGTCGCCTCGCCCTCTGTCTTTCCCGTCGCCTCGCCCTCTGTCTTTCCCGTCGCCTCGCCCTCCGCCACTTCGCCCTCCGTCTTTCCCGTCACCTCACCCTCCATGTCGCCGCCCACCCACCCCGTCGACCGCTCCCACATCGTGGTGCTGGGGTATGGCCGCACGCCCTACCAGGAGGAGATTGACTGTGACCGCCTCTCCAAGGACTATGTGCCGCATTTCGCACTAGACACCAAGCTGCAAGCCCTACTTGGTAAGTGCTAATAAATCCTCCTATTGTATAAACAGTGGATACTCTAGTTTGTAATACAGTAGAGAATACTGAGTTTTATCGGTATTCTTTCCTTGTTTAATTATGTGCACTGCACTACAGGATTTTTTCAAAATTCGTCAAGAGAATCTTTGATAAGTTAATAATTAATATTAATTACTATTAAAGAATTGTCAATATGATTAACAGATTTCCCGATAAAAGTCTAAAGTAAATTAATCCTTCATTATATAGCTTAATTATATCACTAGCTGTGTGTGCATTTTAATAATATAGTGAATATCCAACAATTCCAATTGGATATTTTATGCCAAAGAAAGTGGGACATTGCTGTTATATATACTGATATAGAAAACGTTTTCTTGCTTAGTATTATTCGTGTGGGTGACTTCAATACAAATGTACACCCTCTGGTATTGTATTTTAGAATCCTGATTAATTGGTTCAAGTGCTTGGCCTTAGTCCTGAATTATATATCATATATTCAGGTACATATAAATATACACTTTGGTCCCAACATTCAGTCAAGTTGTGTACAGATTCCGGATCATGTTGAGCTGTCATATGTACATGTGAAGCTATGTATGCAGTCTGCCACCACTACTTCACTAATTCATTTAATGTTTCGCTACTATGGTGCTTAATTTTTGTTTTATAATGTGTGTGCGCGCACATTTGTGTACTTGGTTTCCATGCGTGTACCTGTTGTGTCCTGTCAGCCTCTGGCAGGCTTAATTCCTGAAGCTTTTTTCTCACAACTTATTCATCTAGGAAGGGAGGGTCCGTCATAGATGCGACTGTCGTGTTATATCTACTGTCGTGTGGTTGACGTGTTGGGTGCTGTCGTGTTGCCATGATGACTCTGCATTCTGACTTACCTGTGTACATAAAATCTCAACATGGTGGAGTGAGAGATGGCAGGAAGTGCAAAATCTATCTAATGAAATGTACGAGTGCTATCAGCATAATTTAGAAAACAGAGTAAACATCATTGAACCCCAATACTTCACTTACTGCCAACAAATATAATGTTGTTGGAACAACGGTGGATGCTTTCAAGAGAACTTGACACGTTTCCATTCCATATGCGCCATGTTATCTTTTTGGTAACAGAGATAGGCCAATGGGCCAGGCAGTCGCCAGAGTAGCCTGGGCCCCAAATCATGCTGTGATAAAGAGCTATCGAAATTGTCGACAGGCAATCCGTGCACATCTTCTTGAGGTTATCTTGAGATGATTTCGGGGCTTACCGTCCCCGCGGCCCGGTTCTCGACCAGGCCTCTTTTTATGTTACATACCTCCCAGGAAGCAGCCCGTAGCAGCTGTCTAACTCCCAGGTACCTATTTACTGCTAGGTGAAATAGCTAGGTATTTACTGCTATTTCTTATTCAGGGTTAAAGAAACTGCCTATTTTGTTCCTACCTCCTCATGGGATCGAACGCGGAACCTCAGGATTACGAATCCGAAACGCTGTCCACTCGGTTGTCAGTCCCCCAGATAGTTACAAAATATATGTAACAACGAAATTAATGTTGACACAAATGGTGAGATATCGAGAGATAAGTGTGTAGCGTGTGTATACAGAGCACTGTGTTTCGCGTATCAGGCAGTGTGGCTTGGCTAGATTATAGTGGTATGTAGTTAACGTGTTGGGGTTGTGGTGTGGTTGACGTGTTAGGTAGTGTGGTGGACGTGGTGGGTGCTGTCGTGTGGTTGAAGTGTTAAGTAGTTAGAATAACAACATCTTTTAGTCTACCGATTGTTATTTATCTCATACACATGTTTTGTTTGACACATCGCATTATGATGCACAACTTCTCTGCTAGTTCCCGTTTGCATTATTCTACTTTCAAAATCATCCAAGAATTCTCGTCCAGCGACACTTTTAATGGATCTTTTTGATAGCTCAAGATTACGGTCAACATTGTCATTATTTACCACAAGGTTAGCAAAGGCAGCAGCGTAATGTTCCTGCAGTCCAATGTGAGAGGGAATCCACAACATTTTGACTTTGACCTCATTATTACGTATGCATATTTATGTTTGGCTTCGGAGACAAGCACGTTGTTTGACCAAGTTATTTAATGCTAGTAGTGAGGAAAGGGAGACTAAAATAGAGCTGTCTACTACAGTGTTGTTAATTTTTTTATTGTTGATGGGGCTTCCTCCTCAAATGACGAAGAGCCCTTCAGATGCCTGGCAAGAACCTAAAGGTTCTTACCCAACCACTTTTGGCTGGACGGTAGAGCAATGGTCTCGCTTAATGCAGGTCGGCGTTCAATCCCCGACTATCCAAGTGTGGTTGGGTACCATTCCTTTCCCCCCGTCCCATCCCAAATCCTTATCTTGACCCCTTCCCAGTGCTATATAGTCGTAATGGCTTGGCGCTTTTCCCCCCTGATAATTTCCTCCCCTCCGTCTTTATCTCGCTTGTCCCACACTGACCAAGAGTGGTGCTGGCAATGTTAAGGGGTGACCTTGGCAAGCGTATGGGAAATTTGGCGACTAAACAGGCTTTCCCGACCATATTGTAAACACAATACACACCAAACAAGCACACCCTCACCTCCCTCCTGGCCGCTATTGTCTGTGGTATGTCGGCCTTTTTTTTTTTTTTTAATAGTTAATCTCTGACTGGGTGACCTGTGGGGTGGACCTCACCTCACGGCCGCGCTCAGGACAGTCATCAAACCATAGGCAGCTAGGCCTACAGCAGCAGTATGTTGCTAAAGCAATAATTATATGACTGTTCTGCGTAATGATTCCCTTAAGTTAAATAATGGGTTACGATTGAGAGGCGGAGGTGACCTTGGGTAAGACTGCTCTATTTCTAGGATTACGAGAGCTTACGAGTATATTTTGATGGCATCAATCGTAATTAAATACCACCGTTGTATATCATAAAGGCTGGCTGCACAGAGTTGTAAAATTAGTACATCGGCGGTATCTGTAGAAACTCTCAATTTCAGGTTCAAACAAGTGTGTGGTTTCGCTTTAGCTTTGAAATCTAATGAAATATATTTAGGCATAATTTTTTGTATTAAGTGGATATAGAGAAGTATGCATACATGCCTTTATCTTGAGTGACGTGTGTGTGTGTGTGTGTGTGTGTGTGTGTGTGTGTGTGTGTGTGTGTGTGTGTGTGTGTGTGTGTGTGTGAGAGTGAGAGAGAGCACACAGGTGGTGGGGGTGAGAGGGGTAGGGAGGGATGGTGGGCGGGTGCTAGAGCACTCGATGGCCAGCTGCGCCAGGGAGCTGACCGCCTTCCTGTTGGTCCTCGTCGTTGACCTCAGGGTACTACAGGCCGACCCCCAACACTCCCTGTTTTCTTATCACAAATGGCATTTGATAAGCAACAAAATATCATCATTAATCAAGGTAAATCAACTTTGTAGTCTAGTTTATTTAAAGTAAATCACAAGGTGACAATACACGGGAGTATGAAGCTTCTGGTACACAAATAGAGTACAACTGATAGCTTTTAATTAGGATATATGCAAGCTTATTTAAATATTGCTGTAAAACATCTAGACAGTCAAGTTTCCTAGACGCGGTTGGTTTTTCATAGTGCTGTCAATTATATGGTTCGTAAGTGAAGTAAACGATTAGATTATGTTTTATTTTTACACGTTTGTATTAGAAAATATAAATAATAAAATGCTGCGTATTAATCTAGAATGTTGTTAGTGATGCACTTAGAATTTTCTGAACACAAAATGTAGTAGGGGCGCCGAGTGGGGGTATTAAGAACGCTGTGAATCTGACACCATTGGCGTTGCTCAAGCTCGTATTCTGTTTAACGTTATCCTGTTACATGCTATTACAGGCTAAGAGTTACCCAAAATGCTACAGCATTTTTGTAAAGGAAAAAAACAACGTACGTCTTCATTGTTGATTACGATCCTGATAATATTCAGATGATTTACAGTTCATTAACGTGAAACAAAACAATGACCGTGACAAGTGACGTGTGATAAAGCTTGGTGCAGGAACGTTGGCGTGAGAACACAGGTTCCCCGCTTCGACGGGTGCTATTGTGTCCACGGTTTAGTATTATCGATGGAGATGTGTATGATGTGAGTGTTGTGGCTTTGTGATGCTCCAGCTTCCGGCCACACGCGTAGCTGTTGCATACATTGCCTGTAGATCCGGGTCACGGAAAGCTGGTGTTTAGCTGCGGTGTATTTCTGGGTGATATAGCTGCATGAACAGCTGTTCACTCGATCAATCCCACTTTTTGTTGTTATAAATAAACTAAACTTACTCGTATGATATCAGTGCATCACGATTTAGAATTTAGATGATCGATTTAGATCGTGCACTCTTTATGCTGCTGGAAAAAAGTAAAGTTTGTCGTCTTAAGAGTTCCAAATGGGAACATAGCTTCCTTGATTTAAAGGAAAATCCCATCTGAAAGGCAACATGTCCAACCATCTATGTCCCGATAGGGGATAGAATCAGGGATACGAGGATGTAGACTACTGTGCTACATCCAGAATTATTCACCAAAAGAAAGCTTTGAGCCATCTGGAAAGCTTGAGTTGGCTACAGTGAAGGCCTGCACTTCTAAGGCTATGGATTACTTTGCTAATACACGTGACCTTAGTGCTGGCATTCGTGTAGGGACGCTGCGTCGCATGTTATTTTCCTTTCTAGAAAATCGTAAACACCATTTGAGAATTTAGGAAACAGAATACAGCTCAGCATTAACATTCAATTTACTTAAAATGAGGACAAACGTGGTAGAGCCGGGGAAGGTGTTCAGGTCTGGCTGAGGATGAGTCAGGCTTGGTGTTGCCCGTACAAGTGCCAATTGCTTGCCTTGTGTAGTTTTGTGTGGCCGTGTGTGTTTACTACTGACTGTCGCCGTTGTGCATTTATTCATTTTATAGGAATGGGTCTTGATCAGAAAAGGGACTTCGTTGAGATATGTTTGCTAATAGGCTTAGCATGTTGTCAGGAGGAACGTGGTGGTGATAAGAGGCTTCACTTGTGTGGCATACCTGGCCTTGACATAATGGCGCATGCGTGATTTGATAGTGTTTGTGTTCAGATATAACTAAACAATTTAGTTTTAGTTTATTAGAGGGAAGTAAGCCATACGAAAGTTACACACTTGTGCTAATAATTATGTAATAAAAAAGTTTGTATATCTATATTTGGATATAAGTGCTTATGTAGCTTCGCAGAAACATGCTTGTGGGGGATGTTTGGCCGAACTACGGTGGAGGAAACATACTATTTAAAACGAAAATTTAGATATTAACTGGGAAGACATAGAAACGGTTAGTAGAAAATCAGAATAAACTTAGCTTGTCTGGTTTCGTCCCAGAAAAATGTAACTTGTCTAGGCTTGAAGAATTTGTTTGTAGTCTGTGCTCGGTAATATTTCAAATAATAATGACATGGCGTATTAAGAGTTTCAGCTTAATAAACATGGGATACTTTATTATATTAGGTCTAATTAATTATTGTGCTGAAGTGATTTCATTAGGATTCTCCTTAATTGAGTTGATATTGAGGGTGACCTTTTCCTGCCCACAGCCCCTGGACCGGAGCACAAGACTGCAGCCCACTACATGCAAGGGGTATTCAACTTGGAGCTGAGGAAGGACTATATCTCGAGCACCCACGCCCACCACCCTGACCTGAGCCGCCATCACACGCCCAGGACCATGCCGCCCAACACCACCCAACACACCACCAACGGCGAGACCCCCAACATTACTGAAATGTGAGTTGGAAAGAGAAGTTTATTTTATAATCTTTATTAACTGAATGTCCCCCAATTCTTCCATATTATGATTCCGTCATGGCCACTTTTATGTATTTGCAGACGTGAAATGTTGTGAATGTTCTGTTATCTTTGTAAAAAAAATACTCTAGCTTATTAAAGGATGTTTGCTAGCTTCTGTTTGTGCTTAATTCGGGAATAAAAGCTCGCTTCCACAACAGAATGATCCAGCAAGTGATAGTTGGTTTAAACGCTAAATTCAGGCCCAAATCCTATCTTAATGAAGTCGAGTCAGAATTGTGTAATGGAAATAAATGTAGGATCAGTCAAAAATATTTGTAAGATATACCGTTGAAAACTCCTATGAATAACTTCACCCTAGTGTAAACCCTAGGAGTAAACTGTGTTAGTGAGTAGAGCTCCACCTGTTCATTCCACACCTGCGTGCTACTCTCTCGATATGCAGCTGTAACATCTGTGCTCATAGCTGCCACACTTCTCTAGATTGAGTAAAAATATTACATATGAATTTTATTGCAAACATTTTACCCCTGATCCTCTCTCTAAGTCTAGTTGTAATTAATTCCATATAATTTCAGCCCTGCATATTTTATTTAAAGCCATTCAAGGTACAATTCCTGCTATGTATAAGGTAGAGTTTGAATGGTTGGGATGGCATGATTATGGAAGGCCCTGAGGTTTGCCACCTGTAGTTCACTCACAACCAGTCAGTGCAGTGAACGGCGGGGAAGTTGTACACACACAAAATTTAGTTTGTGAACATTTATACTAATATTGTGTACCGATCGTACACAAGTGTGTACGTCGTTAGGCATTTTATTTTATAATTACCATAGAAAAATTGCTGCATAGATCTCTCGGACGTCTTAATTAGTAAACAAGTAATGGAAAAGCATCTGGTATTGAGTGACTTTCAAGAAGATAGTATCAGATAGATGGTTTACAGGCAACTTAACCTTCATCGGGCTCAGAGTGAAAAGAATTTGATAGGATCATCCCAGACGAGTCTGTGTCACAGTTCCTCCAATGCTTACATCCTTGTGGACACCTTGTAAGCAAATATGGATCAGGGTTAGGTTAAATATAGGCGACAATTCACACCAGAGTAAAAATTTTTTAGAAATGTGTGTTAGAGTACGTCTGTAATGCCTATCAGAGATTTTCATTGTGGTGAAAACTTGGCATATGAAATGTTAAAAAAGTAATAAAATTCCTTATAAACCTCAATACAGTATTATCCATGTAGAATGCAGGGGTTAATGGCAGTATTATATTTTTGAACAGGTCAAATGATAAAGCACCATTACCGGCTGACTCCGCCTACTTCACAACATCCGAGAGTAAGGCGAAGATGTTGACACGACTGCGGGGTAGTAACAACAATTTGCATGAGGGAATCACCCCTCTCACCGACCAGCAGCAACTCCATAAGAAGAAGGTTTGTGTTTTTTATCTAGTTCATTTGACTAGTAAGAAAATGGTTTACATGTTAATGAATCTAAGTTAATGTAATTATTATACATAATTGTAAAAAATATACAGTATATATATTTTATTTCTTCTTTACAATGATAGGAGGAGCTAGTGACAAGCATTGGACGTAAGCTTGAAATCCTGCGAGCTGAACGAGAAGCTATCAAGGAGGAAATGCGTCTCAACCAAGAGCTAGGAACAGAGGTGACATCGAGAGTGGAGGCTAGAGCCAGGCTAGCAGAGTCTGAGAAATATAAGCTACATGTTGAAGAGATTGATAAGATTACTTCCCTACTTCTGGGGCTTTCAGGCAGACTTGCTCGGGCAGAAAATGCCCTCATTATGCTTGTTGACGATGCTGATCCAGAGGAGAAGGTATGTACTGTATGCAGTTACAGAGGCAAATTTAAATTAAAAATTTTAATTCTTTATTTGGCTAATAAACAGACAGTACAATATAAAGATAAATACTTTGGAGGCAATGTGACAATTAGCTGTGTCTGCTTAACTCACTTTTCCAGCAGACACCTGCATGGTGGTACTATGCCAGTACATACTTGTAATTCCTGTAAAAAATAAAAATAAAAGCTGTAATGTAAATGTTATGTAATGTAATATTAATTTAAAGAATAATATCCAAAATTGATTTAGTGTGAGTTATATCTTGCAAAGTATGGTGGTTCATGTTGTCATTTTACAATATTACAGTAATAAGATGGACAATTTTCACAAACATACATATTTCTCGGTTGATACAATTATATAAGTTTATTTAAAATTTCTGTGCCAGATTTTTTCTCGTGGCCTGAGTTGGCTACATACTAGAGGTGGCTTTGCATTAAACCAATGATCATTTATTGTTTATCAAATTTTTTTTTATTTCTGTTCAATATATTTGTATACCTTACATTAAGCTAACATTCTGAACTATATTTAATTACTAGTACTAGGCAAAAGGTTCAATCACAAGTGCATGCTTCAGGGTATAGCTTTTGTCTGTAGACAATCAAGTATGTAAAAGGGAACACACTAAATACATAGTGTACAACACAAGGCATGCTACACCTACACATGGCACCGGTACACATCTGCACATGGCACAGCTACATGACCACCTCACTTCCTGCCTTCCATTTGTTCACTATTGACATTAAAAAAATTTACTGTTGCTGACACATCCACATAAATAGTAATTGTAGTTTGTAAATTGTATCTTGTTATTCATGTACTGTATTATTCAAAGCTTTCTTATACTGTATAATTCCTTTACAGCGGATTCTTGAGAGCAAGCGGGACAAACTGAAAGAGCAGCTAGAGGAGGCCAAAAAGCTCAAGGAGAACATTGATCGCAGAGCAATACAGGCGAGTGATCCAAACCTTGTTCATTGTTTTGTAGTTTGTTTATGCTGTTGGCTTTGACTAGAACTTTGATTACTTCAGATTGTCAAAATATTACCAATATTACGTATGTGAATTGCAGTTTTTTATTAAAAAAATGAGTTCTGTTTTCAACACTAGCTGCTAAATCATTACTTCTGTGGTTGATAATTTAAAGTGTTAACCAAAGGTATTTGTCTTTTATAAATCTATAAACATTAGCTCTTACACAAACGTTTGCACTGATTAAATAAAATATCGTGTAATATCAGTACAGTACAAGTAACATCTATGGCAAAGTGTCTGTGGTTGGAGGCGAGATGCTTAAGGTTAGGCTTGCCAGATTCTGCAGGATGATTGGTGGTTCAAGGAAGGTTATAGGTGGGTCAGGGTTGACCTCCATTTGCTTGCAATTATTAAATAAATCTTTGTTTAATGCTTGGTACTTGCCATGTCCATTTTACATTTGAATGTATTCTGGAGGTGTCTAGCAAAGCTGTCTATAATGTTTGGATATTTGGCAGATGTTTTCTGATCATCAGTAATAAAGCATATACCGTACAGTACAATACAAATACATCATACATGCATGCATGCATGCATAATTGCCAAAATTTTAAAATAGTTTATGGAATACAAATAGGTACATTCAGGAACATCCTGTATGCATATTAGTGTGAAGCTTAAGATGCATCATACAGTATTGCCACCAATCTTTCAGGTGTGCTAGTCATTGTCCTATATCATTTTATGAAACTTATGTGTCGTATCTTTTTTAGGTGTCTAAGGTGCTAAATCAGTATATGACTGAGGATCAGTATGCAGATTATGACCATTTTATCAAAATGAAGGCGAAACTCATAATGGACGCGAGAGAAATAGACGACAAAATCAAGCTGGGAGAAGAGCAACAGCAAGCGTTAAGGGAAACTATGTTCAAGAAGCAGTGAACTTAATGAGGTTCTTGTTGAGTGTTTAAATGATCGACATTTGTAGAACGTAATTTGAATTCCAAGACCATTGTAGTAAGTGTAATAACTGCAGGTGATGTTAATGAACTAAATCACTTCAATGTGTTAAGGAATTCATAATTCTACATAGAAACAATGTAACCAAGGAATACAATTTAAGAGGCAAATTTAGAAGACAGACACAATATTCTTCAGCAAAGAATGAAACTTCTGCCAAACTCGTTCATTTACCTAGTGATGCAAACAACTTAAGATATTGTTTACGAGTTTTCCCATCTAAAATCAGGTATTTTGCATTACTGTAACAGGAGAGAATTATGGCATAATGAATACTTGTATCTCCAAAGCCAGTATTTCATTATATATACAGGAGCTGTAAAGTGATATGGGATGAACATTCTGCTGGCATTTTGTGAATGGTGTCATATGTGTGTTAATATGACTTGTGATTTGTGTCCCAATATTTATTTATGTGCGAAAGTTAATGTGAGGAGTATTAGATGAAGCACATAATGAACTGTATATTGTAGCCAGAGTTTTTATTTGAGGATACTAGCAGAGGCAGCAATGCTGTCTTGCAGAACTAACATGGACATTTAGTGGGCACTTAAATTCTGCAAGAAATGGGCATAAATACAGTGTAATTTTATTTAATATATTATTATCCTGAGGCTTTTTTCTTTTAAGTTTATAATCTGACAGTGCAATGAATATCATGGCAGTACTTGCTCAAATACATGTTTGAGTTTGCTGTTTACTTGTAATAACAAAACACAACTCTCCTTATATCTCATGGATTCAAGGAAGAGCGTGTATCTGTCAACCAAGTATGTCCTGTAAGTAAATAAGATACGTATTGTATGCATGAAGAACACCTCGTACCATTTGGAAGACAACCATCTTCTCTGACATTTTATGATATTCATATAATGGCTTTTCTTGCGGGGTATAGTTTGACATCATGTTTGACATATTATGACTTCTTATTATCTCTGTGTATACAGTTTTATTCTGTGATGCTTTTATGCTTGGCATGTTCTGGTAATTTTTTCAGTTATATGAATAATTATTAACTAAGGAAAAGCTTGTGCCCACATTTACACACGGCTGTGCTCCCGCTCATCTTTTTATACTCTGCAGTCCTATCTTTTAACACTTGCTTTAATTACATAAGAAGCCAAATGGTTTTGAAGGTTGGGCAGCACAACCAATCATGGAATACTTTAGTCCATAGTAATTTGTTTACTGTTTGTTAGTGAATATAATGCCCCCACTGGCAGCTGGACAAGTGGGCCCACTAAATGATAACGTTTGGACATTCAGGGTAGATAGTACATTTACCCAGCAAGAATTATTAGTGCCACATTGTACATATTAGTTGTTTAATGGATGCCAAAAGACCGTCCTGTTCCTTGATATTTGTATCTACTAACTTTGTTTAAAAGAAATTATTGGTTTTATACATTTAAGACTAGTTGCAAAGCAACAGTTCTGTTGTACAGTAGTGCTTGTTTATAATGTACGCCAAATTCTATCATTCTTCTACCTAGAAGAAATAAAAATGAGTATTATAGTGATTATTATTATTTACCATTATGTATTATCATGATACAGTACAGGCATCATGTTAATGAAGTTATGTGGTTATCTTGATGATTTCTGGGCTTTAGTGTCCCTGTGGCCCGGTCCTCGACCAGGCCTCCACCCCCAGGAAGCAGCCCGTGACAGCTGACTAACACCAAGGTACCTATTTTACTGTTAGGTAACAGGAGCATAGGGTGAAAGAAACTTTGCCCATTGTTTCTCACTGGCGCCCGGGATCGAACCTGGGACCACAGGATCACAAGTCCAGCGTGCTGTCCGCTCGGCCGACCGGCTCCCTCAATATCCCTCCCTCAGATGTGAACAACAATATTAAAATGTTCTTGTATATATTTACATTTCAGGGGTTGTCAACCTGGGCTATGTGAGGGGAAGCTTTAGAGTATGAAGCACCTTTCAAATACTGTAATTATCAAAATAAAGCAAGTTGCTGGTTATTCAAGTGCTAAATATCACTAGAATGCCAATACGAGAACAAAGACAAGACGAGCGATATCAAAACTGCAGTATCAGATTCACCAAGGATTCAAGGGGCATTGGAACATCAGGACATTCTACGAGGTGGGACAGCTATGTTCAGATTTTGCCCCCCCCAACTTTGAAAATAAAATGGCTATCCGAAATATGACGAACGTTATTTTTTAGCGGAATTCAGGGTGATGATATCACATATTTGGAAGTTTTATACATTTTAAATTGACTATACCAAAAATATGCAAAGTAGTGAAAATAGCAATTGCTCAGATTTTTGCCCAAGTTTCCCTGCAGTAGTCAATTACGATGCCTATTGGAAATATGACTAGCGGAATTAAAGGTGATTGCACATGTTTGGAGTTTTAAATTACAACTCCCTCGGCCTCATGTTATAGGCGAGTGGTAAAGGTGTCAGGTTTAAGGCCTGGAAATGATTGTGTTCTGAGGAAGAGAAAGGTGGGAAGAGTACTGTGATGCAATGCATAAGCATGTCATGATAGTGTTAAGACAGTGAATTTGCCTCGGGGAAAGATATACGATTGCAGTGTTGAGGCTGGCTTGTTCAAATTTATAGTGCATGCATGCATGTGTAGAAGGCAGGATGGGCCCTCACTGCAGCTGATGCAGCAAGCTTGGGGAGAAGAGTACTCTGTCTTAGAATGACCAGGGTCACCACACGAGGAGGGCAAAAAAACATCTTGCTACTGCACTTCGAGGAACCAATGTTCAAATTTTCCATCACCTACCATTAAAAGTAATCTTGACTACTATAAGGGGTTGATGACCACGAGGGTGTCGAGTAAATGTTTCCATCTGGAGAACAGAATAACCTTGGGCCTGGAGGATATATTTAATATCCTCATGGCAGTTTTTTGAGTTTCCTGTTTCTAGTTACACGGTGGGGATGAATGACTGTGCCAATGCTAGCATTTAATTGGACATTTTTGGAGACCCAAATTAGGGTCTTGCCAATGCAGGACAAAGCAGTTATGCAGGTAGCTGCCTTCTGAGAAAGGGGCTGCAATGACATGTGTCAGTTCAGATGGGGTTAAAAGTAATGTAGGCATCTACAAAAGTCAATAAGGTGCTTATGTATGTGTAACTCATCAGAACATGTGACAAATATCAAAATACTTAGGGCTCGATGAAAGAAGGAACCACTTTAGCTGACAAGGAAGTCGCCACTGTGAACTTGGGGCTCAACCCCTGTCAAGGAAGTGGGAGGAAATGGACAGAATTAGTTGGGGTAACTAATTATCAAAATAGGTGCAAAGCCGGAAAGACTATGTAGCATTGTCTGCCACGAGATATTCAAAAGGTGCAATATGTCACTCAAGATGACGATACAAGAACAAAAGGAGATGAGGTGAATATCAAAGGTATCAAACTCACCAAGGATTCTAACAAGAGGCAAATGACTCCATAGAGAGTTGTTTGCCTCTTATTAAAAGGGAAGCAAGACAAAACCCCAAAAAATCAGGGCAATTAAAAAGGTCCACAAATAAGTTTGACAAAAGGGAGCAGGACACTGTTCCGTTAAGTGGCCACGGGTCAAGCTGGTGTGACCAATACGCAACCTAGCAAAGCCATTTCCCATCGCCTATTACGGTAGCAGGAGGAAAGCAAAGATATTATGAAATATTACATTTAAGAACACAGTTTATTACCTGAAACACCAGCTGAGGGGGGCCTGACAGCTGCGTAGACAGTGTTTCGGATTCGTAGTCCTGAGGTTCTGGGTTTGATCCCCGGTGGAGGCGGAAACAAATGCGACGAGTTTCTTTTACCCTGATGCACCTGTTCATCTAGCAGTAAATAGGTACCTTGGAGTTAGACAGCTGCTACAGGCTATCTTGAGATAATTTCCTGAGGGTGTTTAACAAAAAGGAAGCCTGGTCAAGGACCGAGCCGCAGGGACGCTAAGTCCCGAAATCATATCAAGATCTCAAGATAACCAGCCAAATGACCCTGCCAATGGTCAGGACTGCAGTATGAATGACTTATTATTATTAACATCTTTATTGACAAAATTAATTACAATTTTGCCTAATCTGAGGATTTTGATAAAGTATTATTAAAGTGAGGATAATGCTGGTATTCACTGTCACGCAGGACAGAGGGTCATACATAAGACAATAGGTCTAAACTGTAGGCTGAAGCACATATATATCATGGTTACAATCAATGTTTTAATGTATGGATATGTGAAAACAACTTTCTATTGTGCACTGCCACACAAGGGCAGGGATGGGTTCATAAGTGATGCAGCTGTATGAATGACTGGGTAAAAATCCAAATAGAGAATCACTTACGGGAAATATTGAAAGTATGATGGCCTCCTTAGTGTTGGCGTCTACAAGTTCATTCAAAGGAACTCTGATATGGCTGGGAACCCAGAAAAATTCAACTGCCTTATATCTCTTACATTGATAACAAATAGCCAGTAATTGATTTTGACCACCACAGGATGTAAAGGGTTAAAAGATTCTAGAACAATGGGGGCACTTCACGAGTTAACCACAACAACAAAGGAATGTTGAGGTAAAGAAAGCAGCTCATAAGCATACATAACTGCTGTTCTTCTGTGAAGGTGCTAGTCTCGAAGGGTAGGCGGCACATATAGGACCGATCAGGGAAACAACAGAGTGGCCAACACTGTTGGCTCACTTAGATACATCAGTGAACACAGCAATGTAGTTGGAAAAAAAAGAGGAAAAATGGTGAAGAAAAAGGGCTTTCAAAACAGTAGGAATATAAGCCTTCAACATGCAGGTTAGGGTCCTACAAAATTTCACAAGTGAGACACTTCATGGAGGCAAAGCAAGAATATCAGGAGAGATGCTGTCAGTGTGAACCAAGAGAAAACTTTCAAACGAGCCATTCTAGCAGACAAAAGGAAGGTGGCGAGAGGAAGCAGGGCCCTCCTGAGGAGCAGTGGTCAAAGAATTGCACACCTAAGAGTGAAGATGATGTAGGGATTGTGAGGCAGCAAAGGGAATAATGATCATGACGATCTGGTAGAGACAGGATGCCGATTTCAAAACTACAAGCTTTGGGCAGGGGGGAAGAACGAAAGGCACCAGAGACGAGGTGTAGCCCAGTACGGTGCAGGTCATCAAGACACAAAGGGCTGAGGATTGGGCGGGGCAGCCATAATTAAGTTTTGACAGAACAAGAGTGAGCACTTATCAGCCTTCAGGAATTATGGGACTAGATCCTAAGCAAGGTCTTAATGCTTTAGAGAATTCAACTCAGAAGGGACCAAGAGAAATGGTTGTTAAAGATCAACCCTAAGAATTCGATAGTATCCCTATACATAAGGGGATTACCATAGAGCAACAATGGGGTACAAGGGATGACGTGGCTCCGAGTAAAAGTGATAGCACAAGACTTATAAATGGAAAACTTGAAGCCATTATCAGTGATGCAGAATGACACATTATCAATCCTGGGTTGGAGCTGATGTTGAAGGAAAGAGGGATGTCAATGTAAAGAGCTGAGAAGATGTCAATGTAAAGAGTTGAGAAAATGCCAGGGGATAAGGGAGACCATTCAGGGCAACCAGAAATAGAGTAGTGCTCAGAACACTACCTTGGGGTACACCTTAGTACTTTCGAAAAGATTTAAAGAAAGCAGCAGCATCACTTGAAACAAGCGTTGAGAGAGGAAGCCTTACCTTGTGGGGATTCCAAAGGTCAACATTCCCGTGGCTCAGTCTCACACCAGGCCTCCTGGTTGGTGGTCTTGTCACACAGGCCATTTGACACAGCTGCTCACAGCCTAACGTATGAATCACAGCCTAGTTGATTAGGTATTTTTTAGAGGGGGTTTACAGAGTTCTCTCCTTTGAACACTACGAGTGATTTGCCAGTTATGCCACTTGTGCAGAGTGAGAGTGATGAAAAAGTCTTGGGCCTTTGACACTGCTAGAATTGTCTCTCAATATATCTATTGCACCTCTGCTTTTCAAAGGGGCTATTTTGTATATCTAGGTGGTGTCAAAAGCATTCTCCAGGTCAAAAGGTATTGTCACAATGGAGGAATTCTCAACTTAGGCAGCATGAATGTAAACTTTCAAGTTCACCAAAATGCCTATGGAGCTGCAACCTTTGCAAAAAGCAAATTGGGAAGGGAAAAGTAGTCATGATGCTCCAGGAACCACACGAGATGCACATTAATTATACACTCAAGGAGTTTGCAAATACAGTACAATGTAGGCGATATAGATCCCAACTCTTTCTTCAAAAGATCAAATGTAACATGAACAAGGAGCAACGGGTTCAAACACAACAAGCCCCAGTGTAGGACAGAAAAGAGGAGATGCTTTTTTTACCCATAAGGTTGTAAACCCGTGGAACTGCCTTTCCACTGAACCTGTAAATGTCAAAACTCTGCTGGGTTTTAAAATACAGATAGAAAAGATCATCAGGACAAATGGGGGAGACCTTTGACAAGCCATTAGTTTCCTGTCCTCGTCAAGGCCACTAGCATTAGTGGTCCTTGGGTAAACTCAGGTAAATAAATATCTTATTAAGAAGCACAACAAACTGGAAAAGTTGCAAAGACATTTACCTGATTTTACCCGATTTACCAGAGAGCCACCAACCATAGTGGCCTCAGGAAGCTGGCGGCTTGTCGAAGGTCCCCCATTTGCCTTAATGATCTTATCCATGTAGATTTTAAAACTTAACACAGCTTTGGCATTTACGGCCTAGGCGGGTTAGCAGTTCCATGGGTTTATAAACCTGTGGGTAAAAAAGCATCTCCTGTTCTCAGTCCTACATTATAGTTTGTTGAGCTTGAAATCATTGCTCCTTGTTTGTGACACATCTGACCTTTTGAAGAAATTGTCTGGATCAAAATCCTCTAACTAGTTCAGTATTTTAAAAGTTTCAATGAGATCAATCCTGTCATGCCTGGTTTGCAGTGTTGTTAGCCCTGTGACCCCTCAACCATTCCTGATACAAGAGATGACTCAGACCTGGAATGACTTTTGTTGCCAGGTGTTGCACTTTCTCCAGAGTGGCTATGTCCTTCTGAAAAATGAGGTCTCCAGGCTTGGATACAGTAATCCAAATGGGGGTGCACCAGAGATTTATACAGTTGAATCATTACCTTCTTTTCCTTAAGGTCAAAAGTACTATATTATAATTATGCCAAGGTTTTGGTTAGCTATTATGACTGCTGCTCCTACCTGTTGTGCAGCTTTTAGTGAGTGGTGGATTTTGACTCTAAGGTCCTTTGCTTCATCAATCTGCTGTAATGTAATGCTAATAATTAAATTAAACCCAAGCCACAACTACCAAATAATTTGGAAGTTGTGGCGTGGGTTGTTATGCCCCACATATGATCGATATGATCACTACGTACAAAATATTAATGGGAATCAATAAAATTGATAGGGAAGAATTTCTGAGACCTGGAACTTCAAGAGCAAGAGATCATAGAGAACTAAGAGAACTAACTAAACAAAGCTGCTGAAAAAATATAAGAAAATTCACTTTCGTGAACGGAGTGGTAGACGGTGGAACAAGTTAGGAGAAGGGGGTGGAGGCCTTCAGTAGTTTCAAAGCGTTACATGACAAAGAGTGCTGGGAAGACGGGACACCACAAGCATAGCTCTCATCCTGTAACTACACTTGGGTAATTACAGTCAGGATCGTCTATGACACTATCATTGCAAAATAATGAAAGCTATTTATTTATTTCATCATTATTAAGTGATGGTGAGTGCACAAGCTGTATGGCAGTGCTGTGAGCTGCAAACAGATTAACTGGGAACAAATAAAGCAAGACTTCACAGATATAAGCTAGGAAAAAAAGCTAGAAAATGCAAACCTAAACTAGTGCCTCGAGAAAATAAGCTCGGTAGCACTAGAAATATGCTAAAGCCGCATGGCTCTAAGAAAAAAAAAAGGAAGAAATGCAGACTGGAACGAGAACGACGTTCCCTCTACAGATGAAGAAAATGAATTGCAGAACAATTTGAACACCCCACCCTATCTCAAGAAGGACAAAAAAGGCTATGTAGAGAAATAAAAACAACTGAACTAAAGCTGCAAAAATCATAAAATACAAGAGGCATAGAGACCAAAAGGCTATCAGCAAAATAGAGAGAAATCTGAACTATTTTTTCTCTTATGCAACTGTGGATTTGGGTGTAATCATGGCAGAAGACATTAACTGTAAAGAACACAATAAAGTAGCTGTCACAACTGCCAGAAAAATGACAGGTTGGAAAACAAGAACCTTTGAAACCAGATGCTATACTAATGATGATACTTTTCAAGACACTAGTGCTCTCTAGAGTGGAATACTGTTGCACAATGACAGCCCTCTTCAAAGCTGGAGAAACTACTGATCTGGAGAGCATACAGAGGTCCTTTACTGCTACAGTAGAATCCACTCCCAGTAGAATCCACTCAAACCATCTAAATTACTGAGACTGACTAAAATGCCTTAATCTGTATTCTCTAGAGTGCAGGTAGGAGAGAGACATAATAATTTACACATTTAAAATATTAAATTGTCACTCACTGCTCATACAGAGGTGTCAGAAATTGTCCCTCATCGACTTGCAGATTTGTAGGGTTAAAGCTATACATCAAATACTGCCAGGAGGCAGAGAGAATAATCGTCAACCAGTAGCAAAAATGACGAACACCCTTCAAACTAAGTGAAGAAATGCATCCTTTCACCCGATACCCCAGTTTATCTAGCAGTAAATAGGTACAGGTACCTGGGAAATTAGTGGGGGGGGGAGGGAGGGGGTAGAAATAGCCCAAGCTACTCTATTCCTTTGAGATGTATTGTCTTGTCTCAATGAATATACAGTACTGTACCTGAATGTGAACCTGGGACTTACTCAAGTCTTGTAAGCTGAATACAGGGAAAGGTTAGTCAGTGACTTAGGAGGACTTTGATAAATTTGACAGGTTGCCTGTACCCAAAAATGGGAAACAAAACCATTATAGTACTTAATTAAGGAGATGTTCTATATCATACTGGCCGGACACTGGCACTAGATCTCTGAACATCAAGGCTATCATCTATTTGTAACAAAATTTGATCAGTATAACCATCTATATACCAATGTTAAGTTGCTCATTTCTCATGAACTACCAAGCATTAAGATCTGATATTACAAGACAATGGTACTAGATGTGTCAGTACTCAGGATGTGTCAGTACTCTTCAGTTGGTGTTTTTCAATTTGTTCTACAACTTTATTTTCTTATGCATTTGGTGTTAGTTACTGGACACCCAAGTCAGTTACTCATTCATATGAGAGCCATGAACCACTAAGGTCTGATATTAAGATGACAGGTAGCATGGGTTGACGGTATTTTTTATTCCAGTCTCCAGACACTCTTTATTACCCATAATACACTATTCTAGGTCTTTAACCCAGTTTCACAAAATGTTTAACCCTTAGACAGCGATTATTGTCAATTGTTGATTCACGGGGTATGCAGTTATCATCATATGAAGATTTAAACAATTATTGTCTAAGTTTTACATGCGTGATGCAAATATGGATATAAAAGCTCTCTGTGTATGAAAATAAAGAAAAACAAGTGATAAACCAATCAGTGAAACATCAGAGAATAAATTAGGTAGCGTCAACAAAATTGAGCACCAGGCATTGACAAGTGCCAAACGCAGACTTACAGAGTGCCTCCACCCAGTGAAACGATAAATACAGTATTCACTTATTTTGTTTTTTCTTTTATTCTGCGCACAAATTAATTCTATAATGACATTTTTTGGAATTTGTATATTATTTTGAGCATAGGTGGGTATAATATATACAGTAAATAATAATTCATTGTGTCGGGGGACAGAAAGACAGAGTGTATTCATACACGTGAGGCTTTTATCGAGGTCTCCCTCAAGGCCGAATTACTGACCCCCGCCTGGGATCCATCAGTATATGGACTGACAGGCTGACTGACTCACAGGACGGGTACGGCCCCCGACTCTACTCACAGGACGGGTACGGCCCTCGACTCTACTCACAGGACGGGTACGGCCCTCGACTCTCCTCACAGGACGGGTACGGCCCCCGACTCTACTCACAGGACGGGTACGGCCCTCGACTCTACTCACAGGACGGGTACGGCCCCCGACTCTACTCACAGGACGGGTACGGCCCTCGACTCTACTCACAGGACGGGTACGGCCCTCGACTCTACTCACAGGACGGGTACGGCCCTCGACTCTACTCACAGGACGGGTACGGCCCTCGACTCTACTCACAGGACGGGTACGGCCCTCGACTCTACTCACAGGACGGGTACGGCCCTCGACTCTACTCACAGGACGGGTACGGCCCTCGACTCTACTCACAGGACGGGTACGGCCCTCGACTCTACTCACAGGACGGGTACGGCCCTCGACTCTACTCACAGGACGGGTACGGCCCTCGACTCTACTCACAGGACGAGTACGGCCCTCGACTCTACTCACAGGACGAGTACGACCCTCGACTCTACTCACAGGACGAGTACGACCCCTGACTCTACTCACAGGACGAGTACGACCCCTGACTACTCACAGGATGAGTAAACAATGCCACCTCACAGGATGAGTAAACAATGCCACCTCACAGGATGAGTAAACAATGCCACCTCACAGGATGAATATGAGACACACATCGACAGCAAATTACGTGAATAAAACAATTTAAAAAAATGACATTATGCACATAATAAATTGAATCTGATATATTTATATATATATATATATATAATTATTTATTTTATATTAATATGGTTTTAGCGATGTTTACTAAAATATCTAAACAAGATTGTTCAAATTTGTGGAACGAATAATTTTCCATATAAATAGTTGATTTAATATTATATTAATATATGGAACTAAAACTGTCCGTTTTACATTATATTTTGTTATAAATAAAGTTCAATAAATAATTAATAAATCTATGATTGACAAATCAAACATAACGAGCCTATTTGTTTTTAATAATAATACACAGTATTTAATGTGTTAGTATACAAAGAACAGGTTCTGGTATATAAGAAAAAGTTATGCATCGATGGCCATGTTACCATAGTGATGTATTCATGCAACATGACTGTATAAATACCAGTGAAGGTAGTGTGTGTGTCGTCTGCTGCAAGCGGTTGTCTTCACCCAATATTTACCTCCACAATGGCGTTTAAAACACCCATACACGCCATTAAATTATAACATGGTGCCACCAACAAGTTAAGCGCATACTCAAGTGCCGATATACCCGATATATCGCCGTAATTGAGTATATTGATGTGGTGCCTCGGGGCGTGGAAGAGGTTTAGGTGTGTGGGTCTAGGGGCCAAGAAGGTCAGTTGCAAGGTGGCCGAGGAACGGGGTGGACGTGCTCGCTCCTCCTCCTCTACTCTCTTCACTCGTACATCTTCAGACACCACTAAAACCACCATGAGTGCTCCTAAGAAAGTGTGCATCGTGGGGTCGGGCAATTGGTAAGTTAAGTCTTGTAGTTTTGTGTGTGGGGGAGCATTCGGCTGCAGGTTTGAGTACCGTGGCATATCTCGTACAGTACTCCTCTCTCTGCAGGTATATCTCTGGTGTACAGTACTCCTCTCTCTCTCTCTCCAGGTATATCTCTGGTGTACAGTACTCCTCTCTCTCTCCAGGTATATCTCTGGTGTACAGTACTCCTCTCTCTACAGGTATATCTCTGGTGTACAGTACTCCTCTCTCTCTCTCCAGGTATATCTCTGGTGTACAGTACTCCTCTCTCTCTCTCTCTCCAGGTATATCTCTGGTGTACAGTACTCCTCTCTCTCTCTCTCTCCAGGTATATCTCTGGTGTACAGTACTCCTCTCTCTACAGGTATATCTCTGGTGTACAGTACTCCTCTCTCTCTCTCTCCAGGTATATCTCTGGTGTACAGTACTCCTCTCTCTCTCCAGGTATATCTCTGGTGTACAGTACTCCTCTCTCTACAGGTATATCTCTGGTGTACAGTACTCCTCTCTCTCTCTCCAGGTATATCTCTGGTGTACAGTACTCCTCTCTCTCTCTCTCCAGGTATATCTCTGGTGTACAGTACTCCTCTCTCTCTCTCTCTCCAGGTATATCTCTGGTGTACAGTACTCCTCTCTCTCTCTCTCTCCAGGTATATCTCTGGTGTACAGTACTCCTCTCTCTCTCTCTCTCCAGGTATATCTCTGGTGTACAGTACTCCTCTCTCTCTCTCTCTCCAGGTATATCTCTGGTGTACAGTACTCCTCTCTCTCTCTCTCTCCAGGTATATCTCTGGTGTACAGTACTCCTCTCTCTACAGGTATATCTCTGGTGTACAGTACTCCTCTCTCTCTCTCTCCAGGTATATCTCTGGTGTACAGTACTCTCCTCCCAGGCATATCTAACTTAAATATACATAGGAATTTAACATTTACCAGAATTTACCCGTGGGTCATCATCTTCAGTGGCCTCGACGTGGACAGAAAGACGGCTTTTCAAAGGCCCACCCATTTGCCATGATAATTTTATCTATTTGGATTTTAAACTGTAGCAGGGCTTTAGCATATGTGGCACCGGCGGGTAGGCGGTTCCATGGTGTTTATAACTAGATGGGTGATAAAGCATCGGTTTCCTGCCCTTTATTGTGGCTTGAATCAGTTGTTCCTTGTTAGTGTTACATCTGACCTCTTGAAATGGTCTGTATCGATCTTCAAAAGTTAAATATTTGCAAAATTTTCTGCGGAATCAGCCCAGTCATGTCTAGTTTAGTGTTAATAACCCTGTGGCCCTCAATCGTACCTGGTATGGGGGTCGGCTTGGTTCTGGAATGATTTGTTGCCCAGCGTTGGACTTTCTGCAGGGCAGATATTTTTTCTAAAGATTCTCCATGCTTGGCTACAATAATCAAAGTGGGGGAACATCAGAGATGTATACAGTTGATTAACTACCTTTTTCCTTAAATCAATGACTTTGTAAGAGAACAAGCTTATTTATTAGTTATTAAACTGTTTGGGAATGACCCACCAGTGGCTAGGGTGACCTCGATAAGTTTAACATGCTTCCTGCCCCCGACAACAGGAAATCATAAGTATTTAGGTTAGATAAGAGTTCATTGTGCTGTTAACGTTAATATTTGTTAACGTGGCTGGTGATGGATATAGATATAAATTTTGGGTCATTAACGTTAATGTCTATACATATTTCCAATGCCATAAATTAACTCTTAGACAAAAATAAATTAAAGGTGGCAAAATATTTTCAAAGGGGGTTTAAGCGGTCATTATTTAAGCAGCAATAATGTCGCTTTTAGTGTTATACTTCAGTTATTTACACGTTTAAATTTTTAAGAGCTCCATATTCATTATTTTTACATAATTTGTCATTGAATTATGTACCGCTAGAGTATCGGCTATACGAGTGTAAGACTACCTTATTTAGCGCATGACAATGTAAATATTTAGTTGTACAAAGTCTTTGTACACAAGGCTTTGTGACTAGGCTTAAATGCATAAAAATCATGATTACAACTCGTTGAGCTGTAAGCTTGGTGCGCTATATATGCCGTCCCTAGTCAAGCTTTTTCTTTCAAAGTAATTATCACTAGAAGGCACCAAACCGGGAAGGCTATGTAGGTTATATGCAATTTTCTCAGTCAGGTAATGCACTGATGTGTGTTTTTTTTCTTTCAAAACACACACCAATGCATAACTTGACTAGAAAAAGTAAGATTATTGATGTAAGAAGTGTACAACATTTGTTCAAAAAAGGTCAAACGTAACAAAAGGGCCAACAACGTCAAGCGCAACAAGCTACAATTTAGGACAGAAAACAGGCATTTTCGTTCATAGGGATATAAAGCCATGGAACCGCCTACCTGCTGGAGCCGTAAATGCCATGATATCAGTTTAAAATCCAGTTTGGGGAAAAAAATCTTCATGAACAATGGTTCATGAAGAGTTCTTTGACAAGCCGCCGGCTTCCTGTTGCCGTCGAGGCCAATAGTGGCCCTCGGAGTAAATATAAGATAGATTAAACGGAAACGTCTGCAAAGTGGTGAACTGTGAACAAATGAGGAATATACAAGCAGAAGTGGTTTAATGCTATCAAATGTTGGGTTCTGAGCCTAGATAATCATATTTAAAATAAGTTGTAAATAATGTCTTCGTCCCTTCACTTTCTAGTGTAGTTTGGTAAACGTATTTCAGCCACGTTGTGATTCCTCGTCTGCAACTTATTTAAAAATTTACATATCTGAATCTGAAAATATATGTCGTAATTCGTATATAGCGACCTTAAACCAAAAAAGTGTAAATGTACAGAATAACAAATAGGATACCAAAATGTCCAGAAGCGTTAGCAATAAGACGTAATGAAATAAGGTAAATCTTTTGGTTTTACTTTTTACCAATGCTTCACTCTTACCTCAAGTGGAGTAAGGGCTTCCTCGTAATTTCTCCCATGTTGAATCTTATAAATCCTGACCCGCGATAACAAGAGTTTGACACCTTTGAAGAGGCAATCAACACGTCGCTGCGCCCTCCCATAATGATGGAAATATTTGTATCGGAAGTGTTAAAAATCGGACCATTTAAATCATATTGATAATCTGGTGGATGGCGGAGTTATTTAGCGGTAACAGAATTTATTATTACAATCAAACTGAGACATTACAAGGAGGAATTCCTGAAACCAGCAACATTACGAACATGTTGCTGGTTCAAGCTAAGGAAACAGGTGCCGAAAAACATTAGAAAGTTTTCTTTTGCATATAGTGTGGTATATAGTTGTAACAAGCAAAGTGAGAAGGTGGTGGAGGCCAAAAATTGTCAATAGTTTCAAAACTTTATACGACAGAGTACTGGGAAGAGGGGACACCACGAGCCTAGGTCTCATCCTGTAACTAAAGTAATTACACACACATCCCCAGGAAGCAGCTCATAGTAGCTGTCTAACTCCCAGGTACCTATTTACTGCTAAGTGAACAGGGGTATCAGGGTGAAAGAAACTCTGCCCATTTGTTTCTGCCGGGAATCGAATCTGGGTCATTCGGACTACGACCCCCCGACCGCTGTCCACTCAGCCAGCCCCTATAAAGTGTGTGTGTGTATATTTGTATGTATAGGTATGTGTGTAAAATCCATAACATCAGATTGTCTAAATGTTACTTTAAGCATGTATAATATACAAATTTAACACTAAACTAAATTTAATTAGTACACTAGAGATGTAACATAAATATAGCAGACAACGGAGCACTTCCCGACTTTGTTTTAAAGTGTAGGCGCGTAAATTCCTGTCCCTCCCCAGCATCTGGGTTAAGGGCACTTGTCATGGTCAGTTGAACACTAGATGCTAAAATTAGCTTTAAACCAGTTAAGCTGACACCATGGTACGCACTTATTGGGTAGAAAGTTGAAGTTATCGTACATCTATAGTGGTGCAGGATAACTTTTAATTAATAGAAAATGAAATTGATGAATAGACGCAGAAATGTTGAATAATATTATAAATTGCTTTTTAAACCAAAAAAACTGAGATATATTGAATTGTTTCGCTATTTATTTGTATATAAGCCACTTTGTCACTGCCAGCAAGTGTTGCCAGATGGGATGCTTAATTATGACAGGGTTACCATAGACAGGCTTAGAAAGCGACCTTGCAACAAGCTAAGCTTCTGACTTCTGAGGTTCATTCCGAATGTGTTATCCCGTGCAACGCTTGATGATTTATTAAATTAATATATACAGCAACATGTCCACATAAACAAGGACCGAATGCATGTTAATCCACCCACCAATCACCCTCCCCTTTCCTCTCTTTATGAATGAACAACATTACACACAACCTGTTCTCAGGCTAGGATCGTTTTAGCGGCGGTTGAACCCAAAGATGCATTCATCAATTTTAACGTTGGGGAGGTGGTTCTGCTAAGAACTGCTTCCTGGGGATGTGTAACAAAAAGGAGGCTTGGTCGAGGACCAGGCCGCGGGGACGCTTAGCCCCGAAATCATATCAAGATAACAGAAGATAGCATTCTACCATTTTATAAGACTGTGTACAATGCCCGTCCAGGGATATCGTGCGCACACTTGTATAATCCCTGTTAATCTGCCCCGCATTATTCCCCACCTCGTCCAGAGAGCTGTGTACCTTCACTCTACGCATCCTCACTATTATTATTATTACTTAATATACTTTGGCATTTATGCAGCTACCAAACACTATATGAAGGGTTACAAAGTTTGTGACTTCTCGTCTAAACATGGCTGAAATATGTTGACCAAACCACACTAGAAAGTGAAGGGACGACGACGTTTCGGTCCGTCCTGGATCATTCTCAAGTCGATTGTGAGACACAATCGACACAACGAAGTCAAATAATAGACTATAGAATGGTCCAGGACGGACCGAAACGTCGTCGTCCCTTCACTTCCTAGTGTGGTTTGGTCAACATAGTTTTAGCTGTGACTAAAGAATCATCTCGCAGGCTGGTTAGTCAGGGGCAGGTGATGCTTACATCCCGTTCTCGCCAGCGTTCCCAACGTCAAGAAACGGTCGTACTAGGGTGCCATATCATAGCCTACCAGAGAACCCGTGAACAGAAAACGAGACGATCAATTTCACGAGCCGTTAAAATTTTCTAGTAAAACAGATTTTGGCCTTTGGAAAAGTGTGCCAAAATGCAATGTACTATTATGACAGGTTAGACAAGTAGCCTGCACTGGCACACTTTGAATGCATTGAGGATATACTAAAGAACATAAGAACAAAGGTAATTTGCAGAAGGCCTATTGGCCCATACGAGGCAGCTTCTATTTCTGTAATATTTCAATTTTTTTATTTTTGACAGTATATTTGGTAGTATGATGTATAATGCTTAATGTTTGAATGTCCGGCAGGGGGTCGGCCATTGCCAAGATCGTTGGCACAAACGTTACCAAGTTTGACAAGTTCGACAACGAGGTGCGGATGTTCGTGTATGAGGAGATGGTCGACGGCAGGAAGCTAACGGAGATCATTAACACCACCCACGAGAACGTAAAGTACCTCCCGGGCAAGAAGCTCCCAGAGAACGTGGTAAGTACGGCGACGATAACTCCTGTTTTTCTCGTGCAGTTGTCCAGAGACCCAGACACGAAGATGTTACACGATCAAACATCACATTCACTCCAAACATCTGTCACCTAAGGGCTATTCATGCCCGTGCCACCTCTTGTGGTGACCTTAATTTTCAACAATAACATGTAGTGGTAAAGATGTCCTCTAATGGTGCAGAATCTGAAACTCTGCTGCAGAATTCGAATCTCCATTAGTACTTGTGTCAAAGACGAATTCTTGAGTATTCTCTCCCTCGGCCGCCTCCTTATCGACCAAATTGACTGAGGTTGTTGGGTTCAGCAGCATTGTACCAGCATAGATTCACTGACTTACTTTTCTCCCTTTAGTTCATCAGTTACTTGCCACGGTACTGTTGTCTGATATCTCCGATTTGTAAAAGTCTTGAAGATATATTCAATATGGTGTTTCAGCTCTCCTCTGCAGCCAACAAATCTTAGTCATTTCTAGAAAAGAAAAGTACCTCTCTTGGCCCCCCTCTGAAATGGTATTTACCACTAATGTTCACCACTGTAATACCACTGTAATGTTCAGAGGGGCGAAGAAATGGTAAAGATTACGTTACTGTCACTAACATCGTAAAGTATTGCAGGAAAAGTGGGAGAGTTTGCCAGACAAGGTCGGTGGGGGTACTAGGTGAGGGGTGTTACCTAGGTACTAGGTGTTGCTAGTCAACCTAGTGTTACCTAGGTACTAGGTGTTGCTAGTCAAGAGTAGAGCCGCCTCCAGCCATTTTTTTGTCGGCTGACGCGGTCACCGTTGCCAGCACTTGTGTTCTTGGCAAGCGTGTTGTACCACGACCCGTTCTCCTAATAGAACGACGCATTTTGACATATACAGGTATACCTAAGGCCACATTGTCGCACTAGAAAATGGTAGCGACTCGCGGAATTGACATGCTGTCCAGTTTTCTGTATTGGGTCCTCTGGTAGAGTAGGATAAGGCCATTTTAGTACGACAGTTTCTTGACGTTGGGAAATCTCCTTAGGACGGGTTGGTTGTACCACACCCCACACGCTACCTGAATAAGTATTTATATATCATCCCCAAAAGATCACAGCTTGTGTATTTTTGTTGATTTGTGATTATCGTTATGATAACAAAGGAATTTGTAATGTGCAGGATCATAGTGGTATTTGCAAAGATGAAATTGCTATGAAAGTTCGATAATTATAACAAAATAAATATGTAAACAATATAGAGCTTAGGTATATTGAGCGTTCATAGGCTTCTTTTAATGTTTAGTTTTGTCGGTGGTTTACTAGGGTATAGAAATGAATGATACGTAAGTTAGTACTTCGTGTAGGACTGTTTACTAGGCTGGGCCTTCTCATTATTCTTACCCAATCGCTGTACAATGGTTTGTAGTATATATGGAGGTATGTATAAAATGCAAGATGTCGTATGGCATCAGGCGTTTATGTATATGTATGGCACATGTTCAGTTTTATACATGTACAAATTTGTGTGGATTATTTTATTTTATAAATAATACGTAAAATTTCACGTTTATTTCTGTATATATTAATGCATCTCGGTGTACTTCGTAGGAGAGGGTGGTGGTAATGGCTAACTTTTGGTATCTGACATTGTACCTATCAAGGCTGCCTTATCGTGCTACATTACTCCGTCTCGCTTCGTATCATTGCACCGGCCACGGTACACCATATCTTGCTTGGTAAATATCGTCGAAGCAAGAACAGTGTTAAGCTTTATAGTATAACTGGGGAAGAGAGATCTGAGGATATGTGGGGAGACGTGGTTGTTAGCCTTGACCAGTTAGAGCTTCCTACATTAATCAGATGCTGTGGAGGTCATGTACGTGTTGTCGACCCAAGCTTTAATCTCTAGGGTGTGCGGGTGCCTAGCACCAGCTCTCTGGCCCAGTGAAGCTCTTTACAATTGGGGTGAAAGAGTGAGACGAGAAGAGAGGGGGAAGTGAGACTCCGGAATTATTCTAGTGTATCAGTCTGGTAACATGAGGAGTTGTAATAATGTTTGTTTTTAGGCTTTGAGTATTATTAGTCATTATTAGGAGCTGTCAGCTTTATCGTCTATGGTAATAGTACGCGCTAGTTCATTGCGCATCTAAAGTTGCTAAAGGTAAATTGAATGTCTGAATTCCATGGAAGACTGAGAAAGATTGACGTTTACTGTGCGTGATTTTGCGACATTGATTTGCTCCGTGTTGGCCTCGTGGCCTAGATGACGTGTGCAAGGGTGGCTGAAGCTAGTTTTGTATCTTAAATAAATTTCAGAAAATACAAACGTAGCTTACACGCACCTCTCCTTAACAGGCCTAAGCCTACACCATTGTATAAGCCCGTAAGTGGTAGATCACCCATGTACCCATGGTGATGGGACAGGTACCATAAATTACTTAGTAGGTTAGCTAAGCTGGCGAGGCTGACTCGACCCTAGTCTGTAGCCAGTCCCTGTCTTGTCTATTCCAGACCCTTCTGGACCACACCTCTCTTGCTGGGTTAGCAAATCTGTCTGTTCATAGATATTTTAATCAACTTGGTTATGTATATACTGTGTAATAAAGTGCTTGGTATAATGAAATGTTCCAGTACAGTGGTTTTTAACGTTATAATGCGTACCCTGGCTTAATGGTACGCCAGACATGTCCTGGTACAACGCTTCGCGAATCTTGTAAAAAAAAAAAAAAAATCTCCAAATAAAACAATACGTTGTACCATAATAAATTACAAATACTAGATTTTTTATATTTTGAAGTTAAATTCACTTTGCAAATTTATAGGCTATAGAATGACGTGAGGTACTAAATTTCCAGAGGTCAATCGCTGGAAGAGGGGTTAATTATGGCATTTTAGGTCATTTGGCTAAACTTTGGGAGTGCTTACCTGTCGGCCAGTCATGGGGAAAGAGTTAGTTGTACTAGTTTCCTTATTTATCTTGAGGTTCTAAATCCGTCTAATCTGGCCTTAAGAGTTGTGTATGAAGGTGGCTTCCACTTCCGTGCATTCTGCTTGTTGCCATCCGTACAGAATACGAATATTATTTACATTTCTTACTCGTTTGCGATATTGATGATTGTCACCCAAGAGGTGGCACGGGCATGAGTAACCCATAAGTACTCATTTGAGTTTCCCATTTTCTCAATTTTAAGAGGCTGTCAGTGTCTATTTCAGACAGCATCTTGTATGTTGTGATTATATCCCCAGCAGATGCTTCGGGAAGAGGGTAGATGTATAAAAGTTTAGGAACCTCTACTCTTGAACCACGGACCCCATCCCCAGATCTCCAATATAAAAGATTGATACAGATAATGGCTCCACGGGAGACATTTCCCGTCACGCAGGGTGCAGTCGCACCTCCACAGATCTCCAGTATCAGGTAATGATACTGGTTATGGCTCCAAAAGGGCCACCACTTACGGGCTATTCGTGCCCGTGCCACCTTTTGTGTGGCTTAATCTTCATCAATCAATGGCTCCAACGAGCCTCCACTTACGGGCTCACGTGCCCGGGCTACTTGGAACTTTTTGTTCAGAGTAGCTGAATCTAAAACGACATAGTCTTGAACATTAGTCAGACATTTGTTGGTCCAAGTTATCACATGTCAGTTGAGCTTGGGGAATAGAACTCTTCTCGCAGCCCTCTCCAGGTAAACCCCAGACATGTAAGGGACAAGAGGTATTTTAAAGCAAGCACATACGTACAAACCAAAGTAACGTAACTTGGTTAGGTGATTAAATTACAAATGTCGTGTGGCGGTGATAGTACGCCGGTGATAGTAGCCTAGGTATGATGCTACTGATAGTATCAGGGTTGCGGGAGGGGACGGTCTCAACCAGCCAGGAACAATATTCAACAAACATTTACGCAAGTACTTAGGAACCAGTATATTTATTAAACCGTTTACGAGCATCGAAACTTCCCAGTCAAATATTATAAATACACTCGGTGCTAGGGAGCTCAAACTGTTTAATATATGTAAACAAAGCCACCAAATACTGACACAAAATGTACAGGTTCACAAGTACTTGCGTAAATGCAAGATGAATGCTGGTCCTTGCACTATAGTTTACCTGTACCACAACTATCCGGGTCAACTCTGGCATGCCAGACAGATCACTGGAACATTATCTAACACAGTGCAGTTACAAACCCATTAAGATTTCAAATTAGATTCAACAGAGCAGAACACATGGGGGCAAAATCTTACTGAAGCGACCGTAAGTCATAAATACTCACTCTTCGATAAAACAGAAACAAGTAACACTTTGTGAGCCAGCCAGAGGCTTAGGGCCCGCGCAGGAAGATTCCTGCAAAAAAAAAAAAAAAAAAAAAAAAAGAAAAGTTCCCTACTATGGCTCCATGGAGACGCGCCACACTCTGTACTACGTTCTGACACACCCAGGGCCCTCTCCACCACACATGTTCTTCTCGCCTGCCATATTTCATTCATCTTTCTATTGTACCTTGCATGTTTTTCCTGGTATGAATATAGAGTAGATGAGATTTGATTTATCACAATATTTGAATTGGGTAGTAATTTTTGTGTGGACGCCTAGCTTACGTAAGGCAACATTAAAGAATTTAATCTACATTCTTGACCTACATTTCATTTTCCTTTCATGTAAAATTAATTGGTGTATACAGGTGTCAATTTATAATATGCTGTGCAGATCTCGCCATCTTTGACGTTTTGCTGTTATGTAAATATTTCCGAGGTTGGGACTTTATCGATCGCGAGCTCCGGCCTTGTAGCGAGAGGATCCTTGACCGTGGACCGTGATGTGTGCTCCAGTGTAGCCAACTTGACCATTGAACTTTTATATATATGCCGGCGTAGAGGACGCACCTAACTAGCAAAGATATTTTGTGGCATTTCTCTTTAACGTGTCTTGTTGTATATTTATTGGAAGTGATTTTTAGGGATTTTGTTAGGGGAGGGGATAACTTGATTTTTGTGCATGTAAATAGTAGGTTGGT